CCAGGCACGGTGGCTCATGCCTGTAATCCCAGCACTTTGGGAGGTCGTGGTGGGCGGATCATTTGAGGTCAAGAGTTTGAGATCGGCCTGGCCAAAAAAAAAGAGTGATCTGGGAGTTAGCAGAGTGAGTTACTGACTGCTGAGACAGTGACTTTGAGAATGAAGGGAGTCATCAAAGGTGGCCAGAGACCCTATTTGACTCCACTGGACTGTGGAGTTTTGAGAACAATAAGAGGTTTCAACAAAACCAGTGTCAGGGTCCAAGATGAGTGAAGATTCTGGAATGGTGGTAGACAGAAGGTCCTGGTAGTGACAGGAACAAATGCTGTCGAACATAGAGTCCAGGGAAGAGGAGCCACCTGATGGTGTAACTTTTAAAATGTGTTACTTTTAGGTCTTGAGGTTTCGGTTCCCCATCAATCTAAACTCTAATTCTTAATCAACTGAGATATAAGAATAACAGAGCTGCTGTGTGGAGTTACAACAGCGACTCAACCTTTGGATTGAAGGCTGTGGCTCTTGGTAATTTGTCCTTACATTGAACTGAATAGTGTGTGCCCCCTCTGCTGCCCCCTGCCACCAAATTTATGTCCATCTGGAACCCCTTGGATGTGAAATTTGAAAATAGGGTGTTTGCACAAGGAATCGAGGTAAAATGAGGTCATCCGGGATGAGGTTGGGCCTTAAAGACTAGTATTTTTATAAGAAGGGGGAAATTTGGACACAGACACAGGGAAGTGGGCCTGTGGAGACAGAAACGGAGATTGGAATAGTGCATTCACAAGCCAACGCACGCTGGGGATTGCTGGCAGCCACCAGACACTAGAAGAGGCAAGGAAGGGTGCTCGCCTGGAGACTTCATAGAGCACGGCCCTGCTGACCACCACTTGATTTGGGGCTTCTGGCCTTTAAAACTGAGGGAGAATGAAAGTGTGTTGTTTTAAGCCATTCAGCCTGTGGTAATTTGTTACGGCAGCCACAGGAGACTAGTACAGTCTCTAACTTTCTTCTGTGTGAACCTGAATTACCAAAGACAGACTGCTTTTCCTCTGACTTTGATGCTGTTCTGTGTCTTAGGCACTTCTGAGCGCAGTTTCCACAGCACCTTTGTGCAGCTGGAGTCTTGGAGAGTTGTTCCACGCTGTCGCTGAGGAGGGCAGGAGGAGGAGGAGAAGTTGGGTGCATCAGGAAGGCCTGTGAAGCCTCTGTGTCCCCTGTCCATCCCATGGCTCAAGTCCCTGGCATTGCTGCTGTTTCAGGTGGCAGGCTGGAACTCTTCCCTGAAGGAGGAGTCGCAAATGGATGCCGGTTTTCCTAACAGTAGCGGTATCTACTAGCTGCGTATCTTTTTAATCTTCACCTGCGCAAGCGCAGTGCTGGCGGAGATCCTGGCCAGGTTCCTGTGGTTTTGCCAGCTCTTTCAGTTGTTTACCATGATTGTTTTCCTGTTTTTTTATTTTTTGTTTTTTTATTGAGACAGAGCCTCACACTCACCCAGGCTGGAGTGCAGTGGTGTGATCTTGGTTCACTGCAATCTCTGCCTCCCATGTTCAAGCAATTCTTCTGCCTCAGCCTCCCAAGTGGCTGTTACAGGAGCCCACTGCCACATCCGGGCAATTTTTTTTTTGTATTTTTAGTAGAGACAGGATTTCACCATGTTGGCCAGGCTGGTCTCGAACTGCTGACTGGTCTCCCTGGTATGTGCTTGTTTTCATCAGTGAGATCCACAAGTTTAAGAAATGTGTCTTTCTCGTTCTTGCATTGTCAGTATGGCTAAATGGTATTTATTCCAAACTATCTTCCAGATTATCCTGGAGAGTGAGTGTTTTGGCCAGGGTCACACGCTGCAGGAGAGGTGGTCTTGCCAGTGACCCCGGTTCATGCACACCCTGGTCCTCAGGTTGTGTATTTGGCTGATGCTTTCCTAGAAATTTTGTTTCCGGATGAGTCAGGATGTGTGGTCTGGTAGATGGACCTCTGACTAGGAGTTGGGTGGTCTAGATTTTAGCCTTCTTTTTCCAGTAGTGGTCTTCACCAAGTTATCTCTGGGGCCATTAGTTTCTGTGTCTGTAGCACAGAGGGGTTGCATGTGGTTTAGGTAGCTATGGCAAATGGGGAGATTTCTTTGGCTTAGCACCATTCTCTTTGATGAGAAAAGGATGGGCTTCTTGGACCAGTGTTGAGAGTTTGATGATTTGCTGATCCAGCAAATAAGTATTCAACCCATAGCATGTGTCAGGAACGGCCCCAGGTGCTGGAGATGATCTTAGTGAACAAAATCGGCCCAGATCTTTGCTCTCCTGGACCTTACAGTGCGGGGGAGAGCAGGGTATAAATGAAATAGTCAAATGGAGTTCACTGTTGGGAGCCGACAGCCGCTATCAAAACAGTGCTGGGAAGAGGGCTAGGTGGCTTCGGGGCAGGTGTGGTGGTGAGAAGGAGCTCTTTGCTGAGGTGACATTTGAGGAAAGATTTGCAGGTGAGGGAACAGACCCACCAGGAGGCTGGGAAGCGCGGTCCTGGCAGAGGGGTGAGCAGGTACAGGGGCACGAGAGCCCCAGAGCAGTGCTGGCGTGCTTGAGGGGAGGAGCTGCGGCCAGCGTGGGTCTAGCCGAGAGAAGCGGAGAGTCACGGGGTGCGTCATGAAGGGTGGTGGGGGAAGGCTTATGACCACGGTGAAGACATGGACTGTTCTTCCAGCAAAATGGGGCACCTTTGGAGGGCTTCGAGCACAGGAGTGGCATGGTCTCCATTAGGTTTAATGGGATATCTTTGGCTGCTGTACGGAGACAGATTGGTGGTGTCGGGAGTCCCGGCAAGGGCAGAAACAGGGAAATCAAGAGGCCAGGCTGCCGCAGCATCCAGGTGAGCAGCAGTGGTGGCGAGAAACAGTAGGTAGGTGATAAGACTCTGAAGATTTGGCCTGGTTTAGTGGCTCACGCCTGTAATCTCAGCACTTTGGGAAGCTGAGGCAGGGGATCACTTGAGGTCAGGAGTTCGAGACCAGCCTGGTCAACACAGTGAAACTCCATCTCTACTAAAAATACAAAAGTTAGCTTTGCGTGTGGCAGGTGCCTGTCATCCTAGCTACTTGGGAGGCTGAGGCAGGAGAACTGCTTGACGACAGGAGGTGGAGGTTGCAGTGAGCCGAGATTGTGCCGCCGCACTGCAGCCTGGAAAACAGAGTGAGACTCCCTCTCATACACACAGAAAATGGAATCTGAAGGCTCCGTCTGACTGTCTGGGCTGCTGTATCCTGGGCCGCTGACTCTCTTGGCTCCTGAAGGGCTGTTGCTTTCCGCAGTTGCAGTTGGAATTCTTGCCACACTTCACTTCCAATGCCAAGACAAAATCCCAGCACACTGGGCTTGAGAACACAGGCTGTCTTTCAGTGTGGGTCTGATGTTTGCTATTTTAGCTCAGCTCTGCCTGGCAGGGTATGTTCTGCTGACAGAGGGTATGCAGGCAGCTGGGGTGTGTGAAGTATGATATTTGAAAGTGGCATGATGGCGGCTGGGCGCAGTGACTGACGCCTGTAATCCCAGCAGTTTGGCAGGCCGAGGCAGGGGGATCACCTGA